TTGCCGATAATGATCAAGAATTCACTAAATTCTTCTGGTTGAAGGACCCTTCGGACCCCCACGGAGAGATGGACGTATATCGCTTCAAAGTCGTTTTATTCGGTTCCACGAGTTCTCCGTTTATGCTCAATGCAGTAATTAAAACTCATCTAGAATCTCAAGAATGTACTATTTCTAAGGATCTAAAATCAAATATCTACGTGGATAATGTATTGACCGGAGTGAAAAACACCGTTGACGCTACAAAGTACTACGAACGATCTACAGAAATGATGCGCGATGGGCTACAAATGACCCCATGTTGCGTAACCGGTTAGAAACGGACAAAACTGCTTTATCCCGAAGTAATGTCAACATACTTGTCTATTGTTATAGCGAAATCACGTGTGAACCCTGTTAGACCAATGGCACTACCACGTTTAGAACTAGTCGCTGCAACGATCGCAACCCGTTTAGCCGATTTTGTGCTAAAGGCATTAACAAATGTCAAAATCAACAAATGCGTACTGTGGTCAGACAGTCAAATCACTATTCACTGGATCAGAAGTCACAAAACACTGCCTGCTTTCGTTGAAAACAGAGTACGCGAAATACGCACCGGTTCGTTTGACGACATCAAATACTGTTCTGCGGAAGAAAACCCAGCTGACTTACTGACTCGCGGAATAACTACCAATGATCTTAATCGTTCTAAACTTTGGTGGGAAGGACCACATTGGCTTAAAGGCGGCAAATAGCCAAAATGTGATCTATTCGACGCGCCAGAAAATGCTGTACTCAAATTAAATATCACAGATGAGTTTGAATCAGTGAAAGACATGAATACAAATTGTCACCGTGATGAACTAGAGAACGTTGATGAACTGAAACCCTGTGACAAGTTGAATACTGAGATCTGCGTAGCTAAACCATGTGACATCAGCAAAGTTATCGACATTGATCGCTTTCAGTCGCTATCAAACTTGAAACGTGACAAAACCACACGCGACGTAGGATCTAATACTACCCAAGAACTG